ACATTCAGGAGAATTCACACATCTGGACTGGCCCACAAAATCCGCAGATTTCAATCCTCTTAAAAATCGATGGGACTACCCTGAAACAACGAGACGCCAGGAAAGGCATCCATGAAATCTGGCCGAACTGAGCAATACATGTGAGAGTGGCTGAACATTGATGTCGCCTACATCCAGAAACTTGTCCAGTCCAGGCCAAATTGAATCTCAGCTGCTATACCCTTATATAGCCTTGTTGGATGTTTTTGTAGTTACATTAGAGTTGCACTAGAGGGCAGAGTACAAGCCAGTGAAGTAAGCATTGGTGTCACACTGTGGTCCTGAATCACTACATCACTGCACACTTTAGCTCATTCCCCTGTTTTAAAATGAGCTGATCCCACTCATGAAGAGCCGGTTCATAATCTGAGGTGGGTAGTAACTGCTTACATGTATTCAGTCCTGTGTACAACACCACCAGTCATTTTTAAAAGAATTTGCACTTTCAAATGATAATCCTTTTACTTCTACCTGTGAGGAACGCTATAGGCCGTTCTGATAGATGCTGTATGTACTACAAACCCAATTCCAAAAAAGTTGGGACAATATGTAAAATGCAAATGAAAACAGAAAGCTGTGGTTTGTAAACTCTCTTTTACAGGGATTTATTAGCACAAAGAAGAGATACGTAATATTGTACCTTAACAACTGTATTGTTTTTTGTAAATATACGATAAATCCAAATTTGATGCTTGCAACCCATTCCAAAAAATGTAAGGACAGGGGCTGGGAAGATTGTGGAATGATCAAAAACACTTGTTTTGGAACTTTTCACAGGTGAACAGGTGAACAGGTAACAGATGATGCTCTAATGACTGAGTATAAAAGGAGCTTTCACAAAAGCCTCAGTCACTACTTTGTAAAAACTGTGTGAGCGAATAGTCTAACAGTTTGAGAACAACACTTCTTAATGCATAAACACTAGGAATGTAGGGTTTTCACCATCTACAGTCCATCATGAATTCAGGACTGTTCTGCAGCATAGTTTCCATACATGGGCTGTACAAATGGGGGAGTGACCAGGACTGGGTTGCACTGGTTTTGCGTAAGTTTATCTCTAATTTCAGGCATAAAGTCTTTACTAAGTCCTGAGTTACACTAGTTAGTTTCAAACTATCCTAAGTTGTGTCTTAACTAGTAACAACTAACTGATGTGTATGTCACTTCAGCATGACGATAACACGTTCAGAACCAAACACAGTTTGATCAGATGGTAGAATTAGAGTGTCTGTAGAGAATGTGCAGTCAGCTGATGCTGTAGCTGTCCATGGTGCTGAAAAGACTTCAGTCAGTGCAGCAGAGGGAGCGTTTGGTGTTATGCCTAGCCACCCGACACATGTTGAACATGTCAGACAGACAGATAATGTTCACTCTACAATGGGGCTAATTGCAGTAGCTGTCCATGGTGCTAAAAAGGGCTTCAGTCAGTACAGCAGTGTTGAAACTCATGCAGCTCAGGTTCATGGGTGTATTTTGGTGTCATGTCTAAGCATGGATGAATGGATGGATGGATAGATGATAGATAGATAGATAGATAGTTGGAGGGAGAGAATCTGTCATTGTGGGTTCATGGCAGTAGCTGTCCGTGGTGCTGACCATGACTTTAGTCAGTGCAGTGGGGCTCAAACTCCTGTGGCTCATTAGACACTTAATACCCTGGATACACACTGACTGACTGACTGACTGACTGACAGAGAGATTTATGATTGCTGATATTTTTCTGTAGTTATGTAGGATCATTCTCTCTCTCTCTCTCTCTCTCTCTGTCATTCAATCTCATTCTCTCTCTCTGTCATTCACTCTTTCATTCTCACTCTCATTCTCTCTCTCTCTCTCTCTCTCTCTCTCTCACTCTCTCTCTCTCTCTCTCTCTCTCTGTCATTCAATCTCATTCTCTCTCTCTGTCATTCACTCTTTCATTCTCACTCTCATTCTCTCTCTCTCTCTCTCTCTCTCTCTCTCACTCTCTCTCTGTCATTCAATCTCATTCTCTCTCTCTGTCATTCACTCTTTCTCTCTGTCATTCTCTTTCTCATTCACTCTTTCATTCTCATTCTCTCTCTCTGTCATTCACTCTCTCTTATTCTTTCTTTCTCATTCTGTCTTATTCTCTCTCTCAATCACTCTTTCATTCTCTCTCTCTCATTCACTCTTTCATTCTCATTCTCTCTCTCTGTCATTCACTCTCTCATTCTCTCTCTCTTATTCTTTCTTTCTCATTCTGTCTTATTCTCTCTCTCAATCACTCTTTCATTCTCTCTCTCTCATTCACTCTTTCATTCTCATTCTCTCTCTCTCAATCACTCTCTCATTCCCTCTCTTTTTCTCTCTCATTCTCTTTCTCTCTCATTCTGTCTCTCATTCTCTCTCTCTCTCTCTCTCATTCTGTCTCTCATTCTCTCTCTCTCTCTCTCAATCACTCTCTCATTCACTCTCTTTTTCTCTCTCTCTCATTCTCTCTCTCTCTCTCTCATTCTGTCTTTCATTCTCTCTCTCTCATTTTCTCTCTCTCTCTCTCTCTCTCTCTCTCTCTTTCTTATTTACAGAAGATTAACATGGTCATGAGATCTGTTCTGATTTTGTTCAAGCAGTTTTGTGATCTATGAGCAAACAGCCGTTTATGAACATAAACAAACCGAGTCCTGACTTTCTTTATTGATCATGTCTCTGTGTGTGTGTAAGTGGTGATGATGCAGTCCTGGAGTTATCTCCTCATATTAGCTGCTTTGTCTACAAACGTGAGTCATCAGTTGTAAAATGAATCTGTTTAGTGTGTCACTTTGATGAGAAGGTTTTTAAAATGAGTTCAGTTTACAATATCACGAGTTTGCTGCTGTGTAAATAAACTCACTGTGTTTTCTCTGTTGACCACACGAGGGCGCGCTAACATACACCCGCAATTAAATCTCCACGTGGAAAACATGGTTAAGCCCTTAAATCCTCATGTCTCCAGCAAACTGGACTCCGCGCGTGCAGCTCTGTATCAGCACGGCGGATTTTCTTCATCACCCTGAAGCTCCAGTGACTCCTTCAAACACTGGAGTCAAGAAGGACTGACTGGAACCGCGCCAGCGCGCAGCATTTAAAGGGGAACTCCTCCAATTTTTCAAAATTTCCGCACAGTTAAGTGGTTGAGATGTAAACAAAGTCATTCAGAGCGGTTTGGTGTGAAACGCTCTGTTCAAGAGAAACTTACCTAGTCAGAATTGTTCACAGTGGTGGTGATAGGAACCAGACGTCGACCTCTAAAAGCTCCCTCACAGAAGTGAAGACACTGCCTGATGTCTGTTTTACAAGAAGCTTGTGGGCTAAAAAGTAGTTTTAAAAACACGTCCATGGCGGAGGGATGTGAGGCAAAATAGTCCCCCCAAAAACGTATTTTTGCAGAATTTTCACTATTGTATCACTATCAACATTATACATTAAAAACTGAAGACTCGTGTAGGTTCACTGGTGGTTCTGGACAGTAAATAAAATGTCTGTGTTTGTGTTGTAGACGTGGTGACCCCTGGTTCCCATCAGCACCACTGTAAAGAAATCAGTCTGTAAGTTTCTCTACAGTGAAGCATTTCACACCAAACCACTGTTTACGTCTCAACTCAATACAGAAACACAAAAAAAGTAAAAAGATTTATTCCTGTTTAAGGTGGAACGGAAAAGTTGAATAAGAAGCCGCTGGACTTTTTGTTGGACCGTCGGGACCGACCGTTAAAACCGTTATTTCAAACACCAGCGCGTGCGCAATTTGAAAACTTTTGAATCTACTTTAAAACATACACGTGATTCGACTCCCGCGCTTTGTGAGAAAGATGCCCGCGAAATCTGTACATTAATCAAATAAAGCCTTTCTTTAAAGCGAATCGCAGAACAGACCCTGAAACTCTTTCAGCTCACTGAGAGCTTTTAACTGAACTGGACTCTCAGCGTGCTGCACTGATCAGCTCTGCGCCACAGTTTAAACAAGAGCGAAAAGACCGATAACAAAGCGGGTCAACATTAATGACTTACTACTACATTTCATATTTGCAGTTAAATATGGCCTCTTTCCCGTCTTCTCTTCCTGTTTGGTCTTTTTCCTTTGCTTTTTCTCTCATGCTGATATTGTTCTGTGGTTATATAGGCGCTCTCTCTCTCTCTCTCTCTCTCTCATTCTCCCTCTCCCTCTCTTATATTCTCTCTTTATATCTCTATCATTCTCTCTCTCATTCTTTCCCTTTTTCTCTCTTTCTCTCCTCTCTCTCATTCTTTCCTTCTCTCTCTCTCTCTCACATTCTCCTTCTCCCTCTCTTATATTCTCCCTCTCTCTTTTTCGTTCTCTCTTTCACTCTCTGCTTCTCTTTCATTCTATCTCCCTCTTTTTTCTCTCATTCTCTGTCTTATTCTTTCTTTCTTTCTTTCTTTCTTTCTTTCTTTCTTATTCTCTCTCCTTCCCTCTCTCTCTTTCTCTCTTTCATTCTCTCCCTCTCTTATTCTCTCTCTCATTCTGTCTATCTCACTCTCTCTTTCTCATTCTCTCTCGCTCTCTCTCCTTCTATCTTTCATTCTTCCCCCCTCTCTCTCTGTCATTCTCTCTCTCTTTCATTCTCTTTCCCTCTTTCTCTCCCCCCTCTCTCTCTCTCTCTCTCTCTCTCTCTCTCTCATATATATATACGTTACGGCAGCAACGTTTGATAATGTTGAAATTGAACAAATTGCAATAAAACACGTTAAGAGGGGCGGAAGACACGCCCACCATCACGAGAAGTGCTCCCAGCCCAGTGCGCGCGCGCTCGCTCGCTCGCTCCATCCACTCACTCACGCGTGCAGCTCGCACGCGGATGTTGTGTCCGGCGCTCTCCCCAGCGCTCCTTTCGCACCGTGTCCTTTCGCCGGTTCTGGATCACTCTGGATCAGACCGGATCTCCCGTGGATCTCTGTGGATGTGACCGCGCGAGGCTCCTGCTGACCTCCAGCCCACGACCATGCTTTACTTCCAGCTGGTGATCATGGCAGGCACCGTCATGCTGGCGTACTACTTCGAGTACACGGACACTTTCAACGTCCACGTTCAGGGCTTCTTCTGCTACGACAACGCGTACACGAAGCCGTACCTGGGGCCCGAGGAGGCGAGCGCCGTGCCCCCTGTCCTGCTCTACACTGTGGTGGCCGGTGTGCCCTCGCTGCTGGTGAGTGAGGAGCTCGTTCACTCTAAGCTCAGTAGATTACATTACTGACCAGATGTGGGAAGAGAGGAGTCCCCTTTACTCACTTATCTGCACTTAAACGCAGTTTTGGTGGATGTGCACTTCTCAGAAACACTCTGACCTCTGCTGTAATGAAATCTGCGAAGGAAGTATTATTTTACTCATTAATATTTAGCTCCTGCTCCTGTCTTTGGGGTTTAAAGGGGAACTCCAATGCTTTTCCCAAAACTTCTGCATAATTAAGTATTTCAGAATTGTTCACAGTGGTGGTGACAGGAACCAGACGTCCACTTCTAAAGGCTCCCTCATGGAAAGTGATCACATAAAATGGTTAGATATATGCTGCCTGATGTCTGAGACATTATTTTATGAAAAGTTTTGGCTTAAAATGCATTGAAATCCATTGATTGGAATTCATTCCTGGTTGAGGGATACATGCAGGGTGCTGGAAGGCAACAGAGTCCCCAAAGAAAACTGAATTTTTTCAGCTTTATGATTGTTTTACCATTATCAACATTCCATATAAACACTCAGAAGACTCGTGTAGGTTCACTGGTGGTTTTGGATAGTAAATAAAATGTCTATATCTGTGTTGTAGACATTGTGACGCCTGGTTCCTATCAGCACCACTGTAAAGAAATCTGAGTCTGTAAGTTTCGCACCGAACCACTCTGAATGACTTTCAAATCTCAAGGACTAAATTATTCAGAATTCCCCTTTAAGTTCAGCTCTTTGTGACTGGTCACCCATCTCAATTTGGAAATGTAGCATTTTATTTTAGACCAGTGGCCTCCAGCCCTGGACCTGGGAAGCTGCCTTCCTGCAGAGTTTAATAACAGCCTGCATTTAAAGGAGAACTCCACCAATTTCTCTAAATGTCTGCATAATTCAGTGGTTGAAATGTAAACAGAGTCAATCAGAGTGGTTTGATGTGAAATGGTTCATTTGTAAAGAAACTTAATGACTCCATGGTCACCAAGACTTAATGGTCACCATGTCTACAACACAAATATAGACATCTTTTTTACTATCCAAAACCATCAATGTTCACAAGTCTTCTGGGGTTTTTATATGTAATGTTGATGATGGTAAAATAGTGGTAAATCTGGGAATCTAGTTTTCTCCATGGACGATTTTGCCCTACGGCACCCTTAATGAATCCCTCCAGCATGAACAGATTAGAATAAATTGATTACAATACATTTTAGACCAAAATGAATCTCAAAACTACTTACTTTCTGTGATGTAGCTTTTAGAGACCTTAAACCTTTCAGACGTCTGGTTCCTATCACCACCACTGTGAACAATTCTGACTCTGTAAGTTTCTCTAGAACAGAGCGTTTCACACCGAACCACTCTGAATGACTCTGTTTACATCTTAACCATTTAACTGTGCAGAGGTTTTGATCGCTGGAGTTTCCCTTTAACATGCTGCCCCTCCACTTACCCAACACTAATACATCTGATCCAGCCAATCAGAGATGTCTGAGGAAGTTAGCTGGAGCAGGTGTGGCAGATTGTGGTTGGATCTAAGCTCTGCCGGAAGGCAGATCTCCAGGACCAGAGTTGGAGACCACTGTGTTAGACCAAAAGGAGCCCAAAAGAGGAAGAAGACGTTCCTTTGTAGTTGTGTAGAGAACTCAGTAACTGAGGAGTTTTGGACCTGAAACTTTTTAGCTGAAATTGTTTCCGCTTAGCAAATTTTACTTCTGCTTTCTTTGCTGCCACAACACTTCTACTTGAGGTAGGGCTGGGCGATAAAACGATAACGATAAGTATCGCGATATAACTTTTCCTCGATAGAGCGATAAGACAGGTTCGATACACCACTCTCACACTTCCACGTTTTAGCGAAAGCCCTGGTGGCGTTTTCTACTGCAAGGAAAGCGACACTACTCTGCTGTCGCCAGGAGAGGGCGCACTTCCGAATTTTTCGACTTGATTAGAGAGGGAGGGGGCCACGAGTAAAAAAAGGGTCGCCAAATATACTTTAGCAACGGCTGAAACGCGGAGTTATACAGTCCCTGTTTGAGTGGAGCGACCGGTGATCTGTTCTCCTGTGACCGAGTGTGAGTGACGAGGTCAGTGGTGTAACTGTACTGTCCTACAGCGAACTCACCTCTTTCCGTGCATCCTAACAACTTCAGCGGTGTTAAATCACGTCTGCAGCGCCGTGTTACAGCGCCAAACCGTCATATTTTAGTATTAGTGCATTCTTGAGCAACAAAAGTGAAAGAAAGAAGTGGGTTCATGTTCGAAAGTAAACTGAGGAAGCTGTGAGGCGTTGGAGAGCGGGAGAGCGCTGTCTTTCCAGGCTAGCTGTTTTTAGCTGCTGGCTAACTTGAAGCAGCGCTCCGGCACAACACAGTGAATTGATGATACTGTAGATCAAACAAGACACAAAATCACCGCTTTCAGTTTAAACGTGCCTAAAAGGAGGACTCTGTGACTGGTGTGAGAGATTCACACTGCAGATAATGCTTTTACACAGCGAGCGTCAGATACACTGCGGTTCACCCCTTAAACTACTACGATAGCATAGAGAAACCCAGTCGTCTAGCTGGTGTCTGAATACTGTGATCTGCTCTGACATGGATGTGGTAGGAGTGACCGCAGTGAACTCCCGAACCGAGCTGACGTTGAGAAACTAAAGAGTTTAGCTCTGTTGTTGGCCACTTGTTTAGCATTTGTAGCGGGGTAGCCGAGCGCTCGACACCAGACAGCTAAAATAATCTATTTTCTTTCTTAAATCATGACTATTACAAAAATTGCAGCTGTGCTTTTCCAGCTGATAAACAGCTCAGAAACTTTCTCCCACTGTCCCATGACAGATTAGTGAAATGTTCCACTGTTTGCCGAGTGTTTGTCAGGATCGGACCATAAGTGATAGTTTAAAACCACAGTTAACCACCCAGGAGCAAAATCAGCCTTCAAACGTGAAAGAAATCATGATTTGACATTTATCGCGATATGTATCGATATCGAACGATATGAATTTTGTTTATCGTGATAACGTTTTTGGCCATATCGCCCAGCTCTAGCTTGAGGACGGTTAAATTTGAATGCATGTCCATTACTTGAGGAGTTAAGTTGTCACACTATGAATTGTCCTACACTCTTAGGAAAGGTAGTCCTTCAAGGGTTCTTTAGTAAAAGGATTGGTTCTATTTAGAACCAAGACTTTTGTATAGAACCATTTCATGCTTAATTGTTGTTTGCATGGTGAAATGGTTCTTTAGGTTGATGGAGAATGTGTTGCATATGGTTCTATATAGAACCTTATTGAAAATGGTTCTGTATAGCACCAAAAAGGGTTCTTCTATTGTTACAAGCTTGACACAATGTTAATTTATCACTGCTCTGGACTTGTTTGTTTGCTTAAAATGGAATGCCACAGATTTTTTTCAGAATTTTTGCATAATTTAATTAATAAAATCATTGGGCCTCATTCTCCAATATTTTCCTTCTTCATAAGAAAAATTCTGTCAGATTCATGACATGTTCTTAAACCAAAGAACGTCCTCACTTTTGTGCTCCGAGTGTATGTAGATTCTGTTCTTACCTCAGAACAAATCCCAGATAAGAAAACACTGGCGAAAGTCAGAATCTTCGTGAAAACTACATAAGTGGGTTTAAGAACGGTTGGTGAACAAAGCCCATTCAGAGTGGTTTGGTGTGAAATGCTCTGTTCTAGAGAAACGTTCACAGAATTGTTCACAGTGACGGTTATCGGAACCAGACGTCCACCTCTAAAGCTCCATCACAAAGTTACTACATGAAATAGTTATAAATATGCCGACTGATGTCTGAGACATTGTTTTATGGTAGCTCTGTGAAGGTTTTGTCCTAAACATATTTTTTAAATTCCGTTCATGAAGAAGAGGTGCATGCAGGGCGTTGAAGGGCATCGACATCATTACATATAATCACTCAGAAGACTCGTGTAGTTCGTGTCATTCTCTGGAGGTTTTGGATGGTAAATAAAATGTCTATATTTGTGTTGTAGTCATGGTGACCCCTGGTTCCTATCACCACCACTGTAAAGAAATCTGAGTCTCTACAATGAGTCATTTCACTCTAAGCCACTCTGAATGACTTTGTTTACATCTCAACCACTGAATTATGCAGAAATGTATAAAGATTGGTGGAAATGCAGCTCCGTCATAGTTGGGATGGCAAAACATGTATTTAAATGCAAGAAAACATTTTCTATTTGACAAAACAGAAGCTATTTAACAGAAACCAATAAAATGGTAATGGATACTGGGAAGCTCTGCCTCAGCAGCCGCCATAAATGACTCCTGGAAGTTTAACCAACTTTTTACAAGAGTGAGGTGCTTTCACGCCTCTAACACTGAGCTCTGAGTTTAAAAATTTAAACTGTAATATAACACTAGTTTGAACTAATAATACACACTTTTACTCTGTGAAGTTAGCTGTGCACTTTAAAAGCTGTACTGAATGGGAAAAATGAGTGGGGCAGGAGTGTGGCCCAGTGTGTTAGCTGGAAATGAAAGAAGAAGGCAGGATGGTAATACATCTTTACCGATTTGAGGCAGAGGCTGGCTACTCAGCACAGTGTGTGACTCAGACACAGAGTTTAGTGCTAAATCTTTGGATATTTGATACACATTCAAACAGCACAGTATCGGGATGAAATGTTACCATTTTTCCATTTCTGATACCAAAACCGGTACCGATGTTGAACACTTAAGTGTTGGCGATTCTGGTCCGATATTTCTTCATAAAAAACTTTTGTTAAAATAAGCTATGACTTACACACAAGGGCAGTTTTTTATTCCATTGAAAAGGCATATTTGTTACAGGATCAAATTGATTGTTACAGATCAAAATGCAAATTCGTTCTGCTGTTATTAGCATAGCACGGATAATGCTTCTCTATTTCACTGCACTGGAGTTGAAACTTAAAGTTTAATCAAGATTTGATATGATTATTCTGGTCCAAATCAGAATTAATTTTA